TGAAAAAAATAACTGAGTGTGTACACTTAAATCAAACACACTGTATATCTACATATATATGTATATATATTATATTTATTTATATCAGTTACAATATATGGAATATTGCAAGACTGCGGTACGATATACCTACCCTGTGTATGCGAATTGCGAGAAATAGCGAATTATTCTGGAAGCCAGATCTCGCTCTTTGGCGTTGTATACCAGAGATTGGTTCAAAGGATGCCCGAAGACATATTCTACCTCATCACCGTGCATCACACCCATCCATTCGCCCCATACATTGGTACTCGTCCTCTGTAACACACAATACATGTTCCATCATTAGTTCCTTGATTGTCGTTTTGCATCAAAAATAATATATCTTTATTTAATTCTTCAGATTAAAAGTGTAAAATATGTATCACGCTATTAGTTTTACATTTAATGTTGCAGATATATTCGAAAATACGTTACGTGGCTGTTGTATATATATTTTTAAATTTTGGTTCGTAGATAAATGTGGCTTTAATTTTAATTTATCGCTGCCATTCATTAATAAAAATAAATACATAATATAAATAAATATTAATTTTAAATTAAATTTAATTGATATAAATATGGTACAATACATAATATAATATATAATACTCCTGGATACAATATAATTTTTCTGAATCTTAAGAAATATTATTTTTAACTGAGTATGAATATGTGAACGCGTGCTTGGAGGTTAAAAATATTCATTTGCCTTGAGATGTATATAGAGATAATGAACAGTATTAAATAATAGATGAAGTAGACTATAAAAGCTGAAGAGAAAATAACCCCATTACATATATTCTATATTATTCTATCGGGCTTCCAAAAAGATAATGTTCTATGTATAATGTTATTTGAATAGAGTTACATTTCTATATTTATAAATTATCGAAAATAACAAAGTATAATATTAGCTTTGTTAATAACTGAGATATTTTCAACTTTTATCTTTACGAGATAAGAAGTAATACGAAACATTTTTTTCGAAACATCTGCTTAAAATTAATTTTTTTAAACAAAAATTTAATTCAATACATCTTTAATTTATTTCTAAATTAAATATTTTATTGAATTAAATTTTTGTTTCTCACACAAGGGCATTTTATATATACTAGAACACTATAAACGCGCGCTACGCATGCGCTATTTATTTTATGTATGTGTGTGTATAATTACTTACACATATTAACTCTAGTTCTCCGTTTTATCAAAATAAATTAAATAAAAATTACACACACACAGCTCCGTCGAATTTCTTCTCTAAACGCGATCACGATCAGTATCGGGAAATTATTTGCTATTATAATATAATTAATAATTAATTAACAATCTATAATTTAAAATACTTATATAATTTAATATTTTGCATATATATTTTATAATACATAAAATATTTTTCGGCAGCGAATTAGCAATACCTAATATGGTATTCGGCCTTGGCGTAAACATTGGCGTGCTATTGTTTACGTATCATAGACTTATTATTATTTATACGGAGACTTGAATAGAACTGTAGTGGGGTGAGACGCTAAAATTCCTTTCTTACGTGTTTGTTATCATTCGCGCGGCGATACTCGAGCAGTAATGTAGCAGTGCGAGACTCCATAAAATTCCTTTCCTAAATGCGATTGCGACAAGTATCAAGAAGATTAATAATTAATTAGTCGTCGGTACCGTCATCGTGCCGCGGACGGTTTTCGCGTCTTTCGCGTCGCCTGTCAGTACAGCATTGCCACGAGTCGCACAATGGCTCATATGTGGCACGCGCATTTGTGCGTTGAACGCACATTAGTCACATTAGTTTGCCGTCATCGTGCCGTACGAGCAACGATGCGTCGCGTTGTCGCGATATCGCGTTTTCGCGTCGTCGCGTCTTCGCACTGAACTTTTATCTCGTTTTTACGATTGTCATCGAGGATCATACTTCGTTGCCGACTAAATGGGATGTCTCTCAGCGTTGCAATCTTTAATATATTAATACCTATTAATATAATTAATTTTATATTAATATCAATTAATATTAATACTATATTAATATTATATATTATATAAATATTTATGTATTAATAAATTTAATATATTAATGTAGGCGCAACGTTAAAACGCCTCAGTATCGCGGCTGAGGTGAATGCCGGCCGCGTAGCAACGTATGTTCGTGCATAGTTTAGATGCATGTTCGCGCGGTTAATCTTGAACTTCGGTTCAAGAATTATCGGTTGTTGAGGGCACGTTCTGCTCCGACGAACGGTTCGGCCCGAATCGGTTAGAGTTCGGTCGATTGTTTTGGAATCGTCGTTCATGGGTCCCTTCTCTTGTACCGTCTAACAGCACATTGTAGCAATACTAACATGTTTGGCATTGGAGGAGTTGGCTGTATTAATTAGGTTCGATTTTTGCTCGCTAGAGAAGTTGATCTCCCGTTTTCTGAGTGATCTAGATTGTTAGCACTTAAGGAGGTGGGTATCTTCTTTCTCGACCCGTCTCTCAGCCTTACGATAAACCCGGCTCGGTCTGTATGATAGAGACTTGGTGGTTCGTATGAAATCGTTCCTAATGAAGTTCGAGTCGGCCCTCGATGGGAGCAGGCGCGGACCAAGAGTCGAGCGAACCCCATTCGCGTCGATTCCATCAATCGATTTCGTCTTCTTCCGCTTCCGCTTAACCTTTGCTCGAAGTAATTGGTGAATTCCCGACTTGTCGACTCGAAGTGTGATTCTCACGTGAAGCGGGGTTCGATCGTGCCGAAATTCGAAAGTGCGGGAGTGTCGTTCAAAGTATCGCGCGTATAAGTGCGGAAGTAATCTTTTAATAAAAGTGCGGGGAGTGCCGTTTAAAGTATCGCGCGTGTGAATCAACCTGAGAGGAGGAGGAGGCCTAGGAGAGACATCGGGTACCGATGAAACAACCCTGTGGTAAGTAATTTGTTATTTGTATATTAATTATTTATTAATTGCGTACGTACAATTTAATTTAAACAATTAATCGCGTAATTTGGTTTTTATTTATATGATTTAAGCAAAAGAGGGTTACAGAAAAAGATTTTTATATAAAACCTATAATTGTAAAAGTTTCCACTTTTAGATTATAGCTTTTATATAAAATTATTAAAGTTATTAGTAGTTCTTTTTCAAAACTTATAAAATTATTTTATTAATTTGCTCATTATTATATGCATCGAATATAAAATTCAATGCGTATAATAAAATTTTTGAAATAGTAATTATTTTGAGCGTTGCTACAATTTGGATCTTTTATTTGTACGTTACAGATCAACGTAACGATCCTAACAACCTGAGAGGAGGACGAGGCCTAGGAGAGGCATCCTGCACCGGCGGAGCAACTTTAGGGTATGTATTTATTATTTATATATTAGTTGTTGAAAATCGTGTACGCGCATTAATTCGGTTTTTTTATTTGAATGAATTAAACAAGAGAAAATTAAAAAGAAAGATTTTCACATAATTTCTATAAAAATTTCTATGTGAAGAAAATCTTTTTATAATTTATAAAGTTGTTCTATATTTATATAGAGCTTCTTAGTATTGTACGCATCGGATATAAAATATTCCGCAAATATCAATTATATTTTGGATGCTGCTATAATTTGGATTTTATTATTTGTATGTTACAGACAACGTAGCCTCAAGACCAACAACTCCGCTGTTGCGCATCAGTGCCGGTGAGTGATGAATTTTATTTTCTTTTGAGGTAACGGATTCGTAGATATTGTAAATGCAAATGTAGATCGTAGATTGTAGATTGTAAATAGATCCGTTACCTCAAAATGGATGGGCTAGAATAGATTAAATCAAATAACTTTCAATAGATCTTTTTAATATATATTAAAATATATTACAGATATAATTCAAAGTATAAATTAAGACAAATATTTGAAAAGAACAAAATATTTTTTTAATTGATAAATTTTATTTAATTTGTTTAATGGAAAAGGCGCTAGAAGTAATTTTATTGTGATTATATAAAATAGTAATAACTTATTTTTATATTGCGCCGATATTATCCTAATTTTTCATAGCCCATTCATCTATATTATCATATCAATGAAAGTTTTATTTTAATTGACGTAAAGCCAATATCTATCTATTAAATTATATAAGACATTAAATGTTTTATTAATTTTATTTTAATATACATTACATATTATAAATAATATCAGATCTA